ACCCCCCCCCTCCCCAGCACCCCCCACCTGTGGCCCCTTTGCACAACTGGAACCGGTCTCGGGTCTTCGCGGTGGGGTTTGGGTTTGGTGTTTTGGGTTTTAAAGGAAAGTACAAAAAGCTCCTGGATGGGTTTTTGAGGCTCCGTTCCAGCCCCCATCACAGCTGAGCTGGGTTGAGCTGATTGAATCTGATTTGATTTGATCTGATTCTGATTTGATGTGATCTGATTCCATTTGATTCGAGCTGATTTGGATCTGAGCTGATTCGATTTGATCTGATTCTGAGCTGATTTGATCTGATTCAATTTGATCTGATTCTGATCTGATTCAATTTGATCTGATTCTGATCTGATTCAATTTGATCTGATTTTCATCTATTTGATCTGATTCAATTTGATCTGATTTTGATCTGATTTGATCTGATTCACTTTGATCTGATTCTGATCTGATTCAATTTGGTTTGATCTGATTCTGATCTGATTCGATTTGATCTGATTCTGAGCTGATTTGATCTGATTCAATTTGATCTGATTTTGATCTGATTTGATCTGATTCACTTTGATCTGATTCTGATCTGATTCAATTTAATCTGATTCGATTTAATTTGATTCTGATCTGATTCAATTTGATCTGGTTCTGATCTGAGTTGATTTGATCTGATTCTGATCTGATTCAATTTAATCTGATTCGATTTAATTTGATTCTGATCTGATTCAATTTGATCTGGTTCTGATCTGAGTTGATTTGATCTGATTCTGATCTGATTTAATCTGATTCAATTTGGTCTGATTCGATTTGATCTGATTTTGATCTGATTTGATTTGATCTGATTCAGATCTGATTCAATTTGGTCTGATTCGATTTGATTTGATTCCATTTGTTTCCCTTTGGTTTTTTGAAGACCTGCTTTTTATTTCCTTCCACTTCCCTGGCAGGGGGGGAGGGAAATCTCTCAGAACTCCTTGATGAGCACAGGCTAATTAACCCCCCCACACTAATTAACCACCCCACAACTCCAGCTGCCCGGGGAAATGCTCCCAAGCACATCAAAAAGGGAAGTTTAGTTTTAATTTTGTTTTAAAAAGGGATTTTTAAAGTGGGATTTTCTTTTTGACCAGCCCGAATTCCCGTGGGATTCCAGGTGGGATGGGCAGTTCCCCCTGCAGCTGCCAGGTCTTTCCTCCTGCTCTGCCTTCCCTCTCCTACTTCATTCTCTTATTGATGCACCTGAGCCCCTGTGGTAATTAAGGGATTGGATTTGGGGGGTTAATTAGCACCAGTTGGAACCTCCAGCTCTGCTCCTTTTCCATCCTCCTCGGATTCTCCCACCCCAGAGGGTTCTTCTCACCCTGCAGGGAGAGGAGGAGGAAGGGCTGGAGATGCTGAAGCTCCATCCCGAGCACCCCCAGCCAGTTTGTTTCCTTGGAAAAGCAGCTTTTGGAATCCTGTGGCTTCCCCAGTCCAGCCTGGGAGACGTGGATTTTTATGGAAACCTGGGCAAGAAAGAAGAGCTGGAGACGCTTTTCCCTCCAGAGCTGCTCCCAAACCCCGTGTCAGACTTGGCTTTTTCCAAGGCAGGTTTCCAAAGCTGTGCCAGGGTTTCTGAGGAGAGGCAGGAATTGTCCTCCAGGAGCTCCAGAGCCCGTTCCCTGGAGAGCAGGAGCAGTGAGATGGTGATTTGGGAGAGAGCAGGAGCAGAACTGGAGCATCTCCCCTTCCCACTCATCACAGCAATGGAGCAAAATGTTCCTGCAACAGCAACAAAACCCCCTCTATATGCACTATTTTTTTAATCAAATAACCCCCTATTTGTATACCCAGCAGCACTAAAGCTTAGAGAATGTTTAGATTTTTAAAAACCCTTTCAGCCCTTCCTACATTCCCATATTCCTTCCTGGTTTCCCAACACGAGGAGCCAGCAGGAACACAAGTGGAAGAAAAGCTTCTGTTCCTCTTGCCTTGAGCTTTCCCTGGTTCTTTTCCCTCCCAAGGAGAGGCACAAATCCTTTGGGATGTGGCTGCTTCCATAGGGAACCACCCCTCATGCCCTCTCCTTGCTCCACAGCAGCTTCTCCCCTGGTATTTTTGATGGATATTCCAGCAATATTCTTTGTTTTGAGGTGGAAATTCAAAAAAAACCACATTATCTGTAGCTTTTCTAGTTTTGTATCCTCATCCTAACAAGCCTATTTTGGGTTTTTTTATATGTATTTTTTATATACAGCCTGTTTACACGACAGTATTAACGTTTTAACATGTTTATAAAGGTGATTGTACATGGTGTGGAGTGTTCTGGTTTATTTTTCCTTCCTTATCTGGCTTTTTTTATTTGGATTGAATCACTTGCTGTAGAAATAGCACAGGATCTGACCCCTCTCCCAGCACTTCCACCCCTCCCTGCTGTGAAATGGTGATTGATCCAGAGGCAAAGAAGGGAGAAAGTGGATTTTTTGGGGTCAGAATCCTCGGTGCTCTTGGCTTTTTGTGGTGTTTGGGGGTTTGGTTTTGTTTTAAGCCAAACTCTCCATGGATTGTCCTGCTGGATCATCCACCAGCTCTTGCAGAGAAACTGGGGGAGATTCTGGTGTTTCCATCCGTCCTGGCAGGAGGTAAAAAGGAAAAGTTGATGCTCTGTGACGTGTCCATTTGGGAATTTGGGGCTCCAGATCTGCTTGGGAGGTGATAAAATGAACATTTCTCAGCACCCAGAGTGGTTTGTTGTCCTTGTTCAGGCTGTTAATTAATTGCAAAGCCCAGGTGATCAAGCACTGTGCTCTGTACCTATTGTTTTATACAATAAACCCATGGGGTTTGGGGTAGCTCTGGTGCCTTCTCTCTTCTTCCAGGGCTGAAGGGGCAGACGGGGTCTCTGATCTCGTGCCCCGGGCACAGCCAGGCTGGTGCCATCCCTGGGGGTGACAGTGTCCCCCAGGATGGCCTCAATTTGGGGAGGTGAAGGAGGAGGAACAGAAGAAGAAGAAAGAAGAAGGAGGAACAGAAGTAGAAGGAACAGAAGAAGAAGAAAGAAGAAGAAGGAGGAGCAGAAGAAGAAAGAAGGAACAGAAGAAGGAGAAAGAAGAGCAGAAGAAAGGAGGAGCAGAAGAAGAAGAAAGAACAGAAGAAGAAGAAGGAGAAGAAGAAGAAGAAAGAATAGAAAAAGAAGGAGCAGCAGCAGAAGAAGGAGCAGAAGAAGGACAAAGAGAAAGACTAGAAAAAGAAGGAGCAGAAGAAGAAGAAGAAACAGAAGAGCCCAGGTGATCAAGCACTGTGCTCTGTACCTATTGTTTTATACAATAAACCCATGGGGTTTGGGGTAGCTCTGGTGCCTTCTCTCTTCTTCCAGGGCTGAAGGGGCAGACGGGGTCTCTGATCTCGTGCCCCGGGCACAGCCAGGCTGGTGCCATCCCTGGGGGTGACAGTGTCCCCCAGGATGGCCTCAATTTGGGGAGGTGAAGGAGGAGGAACAGAAGAAGAAGAAAGAAGAAGAAGGAGGAGCAGAAGAAGAAAGAAGGAACAGAAGAAGGAGAAAGAAGAGCAGAAGAAAGGAGGAGCAGAAGAAGAAGAAAGAACAGAAGAAGAAGAAGGAGAAGAAGAAGAAGAAAGAATAGAAAAAGAAGGAGCAGCAGCAGAAGAAGGAGCAGAAGAAGGACAAAGAGAAAGACTAGAAAAAGAAGGAGCAGAAGAAGAAACAGAAGAAGGAGAAAGAAGGAGCAGAAGGAGAAGGAGCAGAAGGAGAAGGAGCAGAAGGAGAAGGAGCAGAAGGAGAAGGAGCAGAAGGAGAAAGAGAAAGAATAGAAAAAGAAGGAGCAGAAGAAGAAGAAG